GATAGACGCAGTGAACTGACGATTTTGTTGTAAATTTTTGTACATAATATGTGATACGTGTAGTTTAATTTTTTTTTAATATTTATTTTTGTACATTAGCTAGCAYAATTCAGTGAGTTTTATGGTCGAGAAACGAGTGATAAATTTGTGCACAATTGCGTTGCTTTTGTGATAAAATGGCCTTACTGGGATAAATATTTTTCGAAAAATCTTTCACGACTTTGTGATAAAATTTTTGACGAAATTTCTACTCATGTAACATAGTTTTGTAAATAAGACTGGCCTTAGATTTGTCTTCTGTAYTAGGATCTCTTATTTTTTGTTTTGTTTTTTTTTTCTCTAATTTTAGACGCTAAAATTTTGACTTTTTTCTACATGGTCTTTCTTRTACTTGTTTCGTTTATGAGTATTGTCTGATTTCTCTACAATGTGTCCAAATAAATACCTGAGGGTGATTCTGAACTGTGACGTCAAAATTTTCAAGAACTGATTTTTTTTGTTAGATTTTAATCCAAAAATTGCAAATGTGCTGAAGTCARAAAAAAWTTTCAGAATACTCTTGAAAAGGTATTTATTTAGACACACGGTATGTGTCTGTCGTGTGTTTTGCTTTTGTAATTGTAAATTAGTTGTAATTAATAGCATTTTGCAAAATAAATAAATTTACATAKAAATGCGTTTTATTCGTCGTCAATATAAGAAGTAAAAAGTGCATAATGTCTGTTCCAAATTTTAGTAAAATTTGTGCATTTTGAAGCACATGTTAAATTATTAAATTTTAAATGAAAGGAATGATAAAGCAATAAAAATAAATATAAGTAGATATTTAAAGACAAATCAAATCGTTCAAATTGAAATTTTTTCGAAAGAAAATTAGAAAAAAGTGTTTTAGGATGTCCAGATAAAACTTGACTCACTCTGTATATTTTAAATTTTTCCAGAGCAACTTTCATAATTTACATAACGTTTTAATTTCTTATTTATCAACAGAAATTTTATTTCTTGTCTTCGTTCAAACAAAAAAATCATATGTCTAAAGGTCACATTTTTTTAATTCCACATAAAGTCTAGTAAAATTGTTTTTGTAAGGTTGATAGTAGTGTAAAAAAAAATATTTTTCCCTTTGAAAGCAAAATACCAAAATTTGAAGCTGTGTTTATAAAAACTGTTTCATTTCTTTGTATTTTTATTCTTAATCCTTTTTTTTATTAAAAATTAGTTATTAACTCATTTATTTCTAAGCATAAAAATTTGAATATTTGGGTTATCAATTACAAGATTTTTCTTTAAAATTTGTAATAAAACTTAAGAATTTGAGAACAAAACAGATTGTTTTTTACTACTAATTGGGCGCAGATAAGTTCATTAATAAAGATATCAACCAAAATAAATAAAAATTTGAATGTAAAGAAACGAAAAATAAGAAATGTTAACAAACAAATAACCTGAAACGGAGCAAAATATTTATGAATGAAAAATATTATTTATCAAAATATTTTCGAAATAGTCCTTTATTTGTCTACTTATATAATATGTAAATTTGGACGAAAATAAAAAGAATTTATAAAAATCACGATATCCTTGGCTCAATGAATCGAATATATTAAAATGAAATAAATAAAAAATATCTTGTCTAAAAACATTCACCTTCCACATTTGATTCCTTTTGTTGAAAAAAAATATCTACGCCACTGCTTGAAGTATAAGCAACACAATTTAATAAAAGAATTTAGGCCAAATT